TTTAAGGTTTGCCACAGCGGAAGTGTCACCATTTGTCAAATGGCAAAAATTGAAAACAATTTCCATGCAGATTACTCATACGCCACAGTGTGCAAAACTCAAGCAGAAGCCAACGCGCACATACACACATGCGTCTTACACATATGTACACACTAAATATTTATGGACAAACAGGATATGCGTGCCTGTCAGCAAAATGTTTCGATATGCTTGCATATGTTTCGGGTGCTCTGGGTTACGCACACATGCACACTCACACACGCTTACAAACGCTTACACTAATCCAGACAAATTTGGATGTGCGTGTGTGTTTGCAAAGGTTTTGCTCATGTGTTTAAGCAATTTGTAATGCTGGTTTTGCTCTTTAGAAGATTTTCGTTGTATTTCTTTGGTATTAGGCCTTCATATCGGAAGTCGCTTTTATAAATAAAGCAATTTCCCTTGAAGTTTCAATAAATGAAATCAAAGCAATCAACAATTTTGCGTTTATCCTTGGTAAAGACCATGATTGAATGTTAAACGTTTCAAGCTCAAGCGCAAATATGTTTGCTCTTTCCTTTTGGCCGCATGAAGCTGCTTTTCGCTTGTGTAAAAGTGTGCGTGTGCGAGATACATATATATTACGATATTTGAGCTTAAAGCTTAAATCAAATAAAAAATCTAGAAGGAAGAGCATCAGTTTTAAGGCTTAATGAGTATTTTAAGGAGTTATACTACAGCGGGAAGGTTGAGAAGGTGAGGTAAAATTTTTTAGAGCGAGTGTTCCAAGATCATTTATCATTATGTTTGACCGTAAATCTAAGATTTTCATTGCAGGAACATATCTTAGTAAAAACTGCTAAAGCTAAACATGATCATAGGAAACTGAGATAATTTTTGAGTTTTAGAAATAGTTGTTAAATCTAGTTAGTTGAATGAAGGCACTGATGTCTCTCAAAAACACTCTGTAAAAATTCGATACGAACCACAAAGGTTACTTTAACTTTAAATTAAAGTGGCCAAAAAGAAATCATGAGAGAACAAGTCATTACGATATGCTAGGAATATACAAGAAAGCCATGAAAACAAGTTTTTTATCCATTCACCCATAAGCAAAAGTTTTGCTTTAATTGTTTGAATTTGAACTGTGTTGAATCCCTTTATTAAAATTTTGACGAGAGGTGCATTAGTTGTATTCATTCGAATTTCGAATATAAGGGATCGATCCGACACTTACTTTGAAAACAGACTCAAGGGTTTATATTCACTTACAATCATAAATTTATCTCAAAACTTAATTAAGACTGGCTTAAAACTCGACACTTCTTTCTAAAATCTTATTCTTTCGATCATTTGCTGATAAGTATGTATATCTAAGTAGAATGTGTGAAAATTTCAAGTGAATTGGTTTTGATATTTGAGAAATTTTCTTCACCGAGTCCGAAAACTGTGTTGGAGAGAAATTTCTTTCAAGTTTTGAAATATGATTCTAATATTTCCGCAATTACATTCGACATATGTATATGCGATGTAGTTTTATTTCCTTATTCAATTTAATTAAAGTGCAAGCTCTAAGAAGGCGGCCCCACCATAATCGTATATCTACGTACAAATTAAACAAAACTTCACTTTAATTAATAAAAAAATTGTTCTAAAATTATCTATTTTTAAGAAATTTTCTCTGCCATATTTTTGTTCATAGTTATACTATAYACTCAAAATAAGCCTCTTTCAATAAATTATATAATATTATGTCTGCTACGAATTCAATGGCATATTGTTTCTAAGTGACTGAATACAATAACAAAACTATTTGAAAGCAACAAGCTCTTCTCAAGAATATATTGGAGTTCATAAAATTGCTAAAATCAAAAGAGTTATGCAGTGATTTAAGAAGGTGCAACCCACTTTTCGACGACACACTGGCTGTGGCAAGCACATATTACTTGCAGCAAAAATATATTTGTCATATATGTACTTGAATATGCATATCATAAGGACAAGAAAGCAAATTCCCGTCAATTACTCATCTCTCCATATGTACATATTGTGCCAGACTTTTGACTTCGCTACCATAAACGAAAGTATGTCACTCTTTCAGCACTTTCCAATGTTTATGAGCATAGTTCGTAAGTATTGCCAATGTGTAGCTTGAAACGTCAACACACATACATGCGTAAATTTTTRTATGCAAAATTTTATGACGACAGTATAGTGTGACACTCGTGTGTGATTGCATCTCCTTCCAGCAGCATTTATGTACTAAGCAATGTGCCTGCATATTTACTTTGTATTGTGTGGCGTTATGCTGTGCAAAAGTTTAATCGAAATTATTGAAGAAAGACAAATTGCTTTTCGCTGCAGTTTCATAAGTCATGCTGAGCACAACAAACTCAGGAACAAATGTATGTGTAAGACAATGCAAACTACGGCTGAAACTTGTGACACAGACATGTGCAAATAGATATATATTTATGTACAGATACGTCATAAATACTTGAATAGTTGTGCATTTATAAGAAGCAGCAACTAAATTTGTGTGATGGGAGTCTCGAGCTCTGCTCTGCTTGGCTCATACAGTTGGAATGATTTTTGTCTCTTGCTGTTAAAGGTTATATTCTACTGGCTTTCCCTCATACCAACAAATGCAAAATTTTAAATGATTCAATACCAGGTAGACCTATACATCTCTACTCGTATAATCAAAAGAAATAAACAGTTTTTCGCTTCAARTGTGGGACTAGACTTCCATTGAATGGGATCTAGGGCTAGTTGCTCTTCCAAAGGAGGTACTTTCACAATCATTTTTAAATGCATATGCATATATAAAGTTTGTTTGCCGCCTATGATTGTGAAAAAAAATAAAATAAAATATATTATAGGAAAAGCAAGCCTGTTTGCTTGTGCAACTATATGCAGTTGTTCTCACATGCATGCAAATAATCTGCTTCATTTCAATATCCTTTTGTCGTTTTGCTGTCTGTCTTTAATATTTCATTTATCTGCTCCTCTCGCATACAGACAGACGTACAAGCATAACAGATTATTGTTGGCTTTCGTTGTCATATTTGCATTGTGTATCTCTGGGCTTCAATAAAGCTTTTGTTTTTCGAGCTTTGCTTGAATTCTTTTGAAGTACAAAGAATTGAAAATATTTCTTCGAGTGCCGTGATCCTTTTAATATCGCATATGTATGTTAAAATTTATATACCGTATAAAAATATTACGGAGATGTAGATATTCTTAAAGTTAAAATAAACAATTAGAAGTTGGTTAAAGTAATGTAGGTATATATTTTCACTATATTTCCTCCTTAGGTTCTACGAGAATAGATTCCTTAATTTTAAAAGCCCTTATTTCAAGTCATGACATACTTTGGCATAATTTTATAGCTCAAAACAAGTTTTCTAAACAAAAAATTGTTTCTTTTTGAAGATGAATGTCCATTAAAAAAATAAATAGTAAATTAGTCGCATAAAATGCATACAATTTTACGCATGCCAACCAATGATTGTTTGCATTACACTTTATTACCGTTAAAACTATTCTATATAAATATATACATAAGTATCTTTGCATATCTCACAACATCAGTCATAACTTTCAGCGCATATCACTTGACTTGCGTTCAGAACTAGATACAGCCAGTGACAACCAGCCTCGCACCGCTGCCCTCCACTCTCACCAGCCTGAAGTGTGAACATCACACAATCAACTTAATGCCTTCCAACACCCCGCGTACCCAATAAAGCTTGCAATTTTATTTAAAAAGCTTGCAATCGTATTTATTTGTAACATAACTTTTATTTATTTTATGTCGTCTACCCGCTGTGGCTGGGTGTGTGGAGTGCATTGCAGTGCTGAAGCCGCCGAGCAGCAGAGTACAACAACACAATCACTGATTTCGCTTTACTGCCCTAACTACAGTGGCATTGTGCTGCTGTTACGTTCATTTTACTCCCTCCTGCCCTCCTGCCCTTCGCCCACTTCGTGACCCTTTGCACTTAACTTTGTTTGCTTTGTGCTCGGCATTTGTGTTCTTTTTTAAATTGCTTAAAATTGTTTCCTTTTTCATAGATTTATGATACTCATAAATTATAACAACAGCACGAGTAACAGTGCAAAAATAATGCCATTATGAGAAAGGAAAAAAGTAGAATTAGAGAAAAGGCAACGCGTGGACAGAAAAAATTATTTTACACAGCATCGATTATTTTATAAAGAAAAAAATTGAGTTTAAAAAGTTAAATATTGCCAAAATATATTTTTCTTGGTTTTTMATTAAACAATATTTTTTACTAAATATATGGTAATTCAATTTATTTTAATTTTAACTGATTCATCAATGTTTTTTCTGTTCAGGTTTGAAAAACGTACAGAGTATAATTCTGATCATCTCTTAAAGATTTTATCAAAATAAACATTAGTAGGGGAGGACGAAATAGGTACACTTGGGTGCGAAATGTTCTGTAAAGAAGGGTCGGGTGTATACTTCAGCGATCTGGACATCTGTCTTTCTACCCGTCCACCAMATTCCATTAGCATCTTCCAAGCGGAATAACTAGTGACGGGCTTTGGAGTTACACTCGTATCCAATAGCGAGAAGAAAATAAAGAAAGCAACCATAGCCTGGCGACACTGCTGGCATTGCTGGCTTTGTCGACGCCAAATATTAATGCCAGTATAGTCCAAGGTGGAAAGACTCCAGTTCAACTCCACTTGTCCATAATTTGTGTTCTCGATCGCTGGAACATTCTGCAGTTGTTCCAGCTAGGAGCCTCTTTCGACGAATCCGAGTCTGAGTTAACACCATTCGCTTCGATTGATCAAAAGGGATCAAAAGAACAATCAACGAAGCAATTAAACTATTCTATATAAATATATAAGTATCTTTGCATATCTCACAACATCAGCCATATAACTGGTAAAKCATATGTATACTGCTTTAGCAAATGTTAATAAACAATAATTCAATAATATTTTTTTCTTTTGTTCTAATTGCARATTAACATCTGGAGCAGAAACGATTTTTCGTATTTGTCGAACGTATTTTAAAAATAAGAGCCGAACAACAACTTRAACAACCAACCCACCTAAAATCCCACAAAAGCGTAACTTAGGCTGAAACCTATACCCAACAAACAATCTCCACTTATTCGACGAAAACCTTACACATTCTTACCACAAACACCAATCAGCAAACTCCCAGCAAAGCACCAGCAAAATGTGGCCGTCTAACTGTCAGCGGCGCACACTGCTCGCCATCACGCTCGTCTGCTTTGCCTGCCTCATTGCGCCCGCAGCGTCCCGCTCCCGTGACAAAGAAGGGCGTCGCCGCAGCGATCGCCTCTCAGCCGCCTCTTCCACCTCCGCCTCGTCCACCTACTACGCCAGCAGCGGCAGCGTGAACAGCAACTATGCGAGCATACCTTCCTCGGCTACCAGCTCGTATACGGGTCCCATGGACACGACCGGCTTTTGTGTGCGTCGTCGCGAYATGAAGCTCATGTGCTACTGCACACCGGACGAGAATCACGTGCCCGTGCTGAAGGCGGAGTGTTGGGTATTCTCCGATATCTTGCCACAGAATGATACAACCTGGACGCGTTTCTTTCAGCAGAAGCGTTTGCGTGAATTGAAATTTGTCATACAAAATCATGGTCGCTTGGATTATATACCAACGCTAGTGTTTGAATCGTTAAAGAATTTGACCACCATTATTATTGAGTACTCACAGGTGGATGTGGTGAAGAGCAATGCTTTTGCCAATCTACCATATTTGGAGCGCATCATCYTGACCAATAATCATATAGCGGCTTTGGCCCAGGACGCATTCGCTAATCACATACGCTTACGTGAGCTGAATTTGGAACATAACCAGATATTTGAGATCGATCGTCACGCTTTTCACAATCTACCACAATGCGAGAAACTTTTCTTAAATAACAACAATATCTCTAACTTGCATGACAGCCTCTTTGTGGAGATGCCACATTTGGTRTACTTGGATTTGGCGCATAATCAGATATCGGTGCTGACCAGCGACATATTCAAAGGTCTGGGTAATTTGAATGTGCTGAAGCTGTCGAATAACAACATCAATTTCATCGGTGATACTGTGTTTGCTGAGTTGTGGATCTTGTCGGAATTGGAGTTGGACGACAACAAGATTGAGGTAAGTTGTACTAATATGTGGTTTAWATAATTTGAAAAGATGTAGGCATAAATGTCATAGTTGTGGTTCTATTCATTCAACAGAAATGTGGCCTACTTTTAACCCCTCATTTTATCTTTAACGGTATAAATAGTTTTTTACCTTGTTACCATGCGGAAGAAAACATTTTAACGCTATAACGATTTCTTCTCATGTAGCTTGCTCGCAGTGTCTTTCTGTCCAGAATTTAATGAACTATAATCAGATTTTGAGTTAAAAGTCAGCAATCTCGCTTCTGTAATAATTCTCAGACTCATATTAAAAAATGTAATTGAATCAATTGTCAAAAGAACCAATCTTTGAACTTCTATGTCGCAATATCACCAGTAATCGTTATCCGCTCATAAGATCTGGATATTAGTGCCTAGATGGAACTGTGCGAGAGAAAATACTTCAATTTAAGATCTATTGTCAACTTTTGCTGAAGATTTATTCATTTAATTGCTAGTTCAAACTTTTAAAAAATTTAGAAAGCTTTGTAATTCCTCAAGAAGCTTTAAAAACTTCTAAAAAATGTAAAAGCTCTTAAAAAGCATAAAGAGCTCCTAAAAAATCTTGTAAAATAACTAATTCAACAAGAGATTTCAAAAATGAATTAAACGTCTAGCTAACTCAAGAGGTTTGCGTTTACAAATTTTTGATTTATTTCCATCAACTGCCTAATTTACTGCGAGTTTTGGAGTTTGAGAAACTTTATTGATCATCACGGAGTGTTATTGAGTCCAAATTTATGAAGTGAGCAGCGGCCAAAATAAATCGTATGATATATACATGGTTAGAAAATACAATAAGAACAAGGCACTGTTCTTTCTTTAACATTAACTGTTTTCCGCTGGAATATTTATAAGCTTGCACTTGCCTGTAATCTCTCAAATTTACATCCACATATCTACTATAATAAATAAGTATATTCTTGCATACGGGCATACATGTGTACCCTCGCAAGTGAATACGAATTGCGAACTCAACCACGACTGAAAGCGTCGCACATTAATATGTGTCAGTAGCTTTCTAACACTTCACAGCGGAGTAGTGGATCAAGCACGTCAAGTGGCGGCATAAGTGCGCACACACACTTGCACACAAGCGTAAAACGTTTGTCAAGTATAAATTCTTGTTGCTTATACGCACTGTTGCGCCCAGACTTTGCAAGAGTGTCTGTCTGGCRAGTTTTGTTTCAACTAAATTGCACAGCTGCTTAATGCTCTTATAGCATTGTGGTTATATAATATTTTATATATATAATATTTATTTTTAGTTTTCCTTTAATAAAGTCAAGCTTGCATATAAAGTATTTATTTGAAAGAAGAATCGAATTGTGTAATTATACGTGTACTTAAAAGCTTAATTTCAAAAGTGTAAGCATCTTATTCAAGAAGTAAACCTAATAAAAATACTACTCATTCGCTCTCTGATCGTCCTAAACATAGATATAAAGTAATTATCTTACTGAGCTAAAGCAGCCCCTTCAGCCCAGCTGTAACAAGCCTATAAAAAAGGAATAGACTAAAAACCATATRAATAAAGGTATACTTATATATATAGTATATAATGTGTATTGAGTGCAGGAAAGTTCCCGCTAATGTGGGTTGGACACGCCACCTGACAGTTAATAAAGACCGGCGAACATCACTTTCGGCGCAAACATTCCACTACTTGCACACTTTAACGGCTATGTCCGGTAGGAATGGATGAGTCAGTTCATGTCCAGAGCTAATCAGGAAATAATTAGTTCAYATTAAAAATGCCTTAACGGCTGCAAGAGACTTGAATAGAATGCTAAAATGGCCACAATGGGYATACTCAGTAGCTGAGTAGCTGAGTGAGCGCGAGCGAGTGAGTGATTAAGTTACTTAATAGCTTTGTTTGGTTGGAATTAAAGCAGAAATAAAAGGCGAAAATTTACACTTTCGGCCAGCAATTAAATAATTTAATGACTCGCAGACGTGCTCTTTGTGTGTGCCAAAGATCGTAAATGGCGCTGAACTGAGTAGTAATTTCATGCCAACCTAACCSTTTAGGAAGCCTCAAGGACTCAAGGGCAGCAATATTCACACATATAAGCGTTAAGCCCCTAAAATACACATTTGTGCTGGTGTACGTAGGCAATAAGAGGAGTGGCTATAACTTTTTATTGCCGAAAAATATTAGTTTTTACGCTTTATTAATTAAGTATCATAAACGCAAAGCTGTGATTTTAATTCCTCTCGAAAAGTATGTTATAAATGCTGAGTCCWTTTTGAGTGGTAATTAAACATAATTACAACTATATAAATATAACTGTCGAAGAAGCTCAAAAATACAAAAACAACTTTTTAAAGGAAAGCTTTCAAATAATTCAGACGTTTAGATTTAAGCATAAAGTATTATGAATTGATGAAAATTAGCTTATGAAACAGGAAAATAAACAATAAAACGTTAAGTTTGGTTGCATTGAAKCTACAATACTCTTCACATATACACAACTATTCCCTTTACGAATTTTCCATAAGCTTTAGTGACTTGATCTGAACAATTTCTTCGCAGATTATGTTATTTCCTTAGCAATAACCCCTACCAAATTTGGTGAAGATACCTGGTCAAATGAAAAAGCTTAGCATTCAAGCACTTAATTCCGCTGTTTCCGTTTSTATAACAGMTATATCCCATGTAGACCCGATAGCGGTAATTCCGAAAAATTACCAGTTTCTTGGGAAGCATGAAACTGAGGGACTGGTTTACAATTAGCTAAATTTACGTTAATCATTTAGTTATACAAATACATTTTGCGGTTCTGACGTTTAATTTGGGAATTACAAATATCGAAGCAAACTTGTTTTTTTTTAATATATTATCTTTCAGAAGTCGTTTTGTGTATCGTAAATACCAAATGGGTTTCGAAATCGTAYTCAAGGTTTGCGTCTTAACTAAAAAAGTACAAAAACTGTGCGACTAATAATGTTAGAAGGTCTGAAGAAAAACAAAAAGTATTCGTTGAGTATTGAAAACATCTACGAAAGAAATAGTTTCGGAGCAAACTGAGCAATTGGTAGTCGAACAAGAATGTAATACCCTGTTCAAGCGAGTAATAAAGTAGAGGATATTAATAATATCACCATGAAAATTAACTAAATTTACTTTTATTTCATTACATACTAATATTCATCCATCAAATTCAAATAATCAAGTAAATGATTTCTAAAGCACACAATATATTACCACAAATCTTGGAATCCAGCACAAACAAAATATAATATTTTATGCCATTTTTTGCTGTCGTTCATAAAACCCTACTATGATAATATTAGCCCGTTTTAGTTAATAGCATATGCGAAAACTTTTGTGTAAAGAAACGTGTATTAAATCCCTTTACTTGTCTTAATTACAGCGCATTTCGGAACGCGCTCTCGACGGCTTGAATACGCTAAAAACGCTGAATCTTCGCAATAACAAACTGAAGAAACTCGATAATGGACTACTACGTGGCACACCCGCACTCCTCAATATCAACGTGCAGAGCAACGAGTTGGAGACTTTGACATTTTATACATTCCAGCCAATTATGGATAATTTGGTCAACAGCACAAGTGAACTGCTGCTGTCAGGTAAGTTTAGCGCTACGAGAGTTACGTGAATGTTTAATATTTGACATGGAAACTCTGATATATATACATATAGTATGTATATTAYAGCCTTAAGTCAACTAGCAGACAGTCCACATTGCTTCTTGGTCAAACAATCCGCAAGTTCTCTCATTAAATTATCACACAGTCAGTTACTAAAGCCGACGTTCGCAAACATTTGCATTATAATAAGCGTATGTGTGTGCATGTGTGTTCATATCGCGAACTGCTGACGTGTCGTTTGTAAATTTGTCGATATGGCTACATGATGTGTATGTGTGAGTAGTTACWTTCGTTGTTCTTTGCTAATTACACTCACTTGTCGTCGGCCAGGCTCTCCCTCCACGCGACTGTACGTGTCCGTGATGACAGACGCTGGAATGTCAGCTATTTGTAAATTTCTTTTCATCCAACTGTCCTACGTGTTTTGCATGCAAAAGCGACGGTAATGCTTCTRCAGTCACTGAAAGAATAGCTTAGTAAGCTGGGTTGCCGGGCAATGTATGGGTGTGATGTAAATTCACTATAAAATTAAAACCAACAAATCATGCGCTTTTTTATAGAAATCAGTCGGCTGRAAAAATATATAGTATGTAAGTATTTTAAGTTGTTAAGGTCACTAGAAATTAAACGTTTCATGGTTAAAGGCTTAGACTTTAGTTTTAGATTAGACTATTATATATATCAACTTTCAAAAATATTTCTAAATTTAATATTTCCCAAATACTTCTAGTAGCTTTAATGGATTTYTCAGATTTGGTCACAATTTAAAGAGTTTTGAAAGCTCTTAAAGAGCTTTGGAAAATACAGTTTATGATTACCTTTGGATTTGTACATAGACTTACAATGAAAAGGAGTTGAAAAGCTTCTTAAAGCTTTGAAGAGAACTTTTGAAGATTTTCAGAAAGTTCGAACAAATATAATTGATGAACACTTTTCGCTTCTTAAATAAATTATTAGCCTTTAGTCTCTACTAAAAGTGTTCCAAACGATTTTAGAAAGCTTTGAACAGATTTGAGGATTAAATTACTCTTGTTAGAGTTTTGAAAGCTTTTAAAAAGCTTGAAAAGTAATATTTTAATTAATAAAGTTTTAAAGGCTTGAAAGCTTTTAAATAGCTTTCGAAAATATATTTGCTGCAGACCTTTCCCTACTTAAACAATTATTTGAGACTACTATCAAACGTGGTGTGAAAGCTTTGGAAAATTACTATTAGAAGAGTTCTGAAAGCTTTTGAAAGCTGTACAAATTATTATAGGCTGAAAGTGATCGAAATTAAGCGTTTTTACGATWAAGCTATAAAATGCGGACATACTGCGCAGATCGGATCATATATGCTGTAGCTGCTTTACAAACTGATTGATCAAATGGAAGCTTATGAGCGTTTTATACCCTTTCTTGCATAAAAAATGCATCTTTTAATGGTATTATGGTTCGGCATTACTTAACGTATTTTCTTGGTTTTATTATAATTACAATTAATATTATTTATTAGTAATATTTTTTATTTTCCTGCACTGCACCTTAAAAAGCTTCTGCCAAACAATATACCAAACATGGACATGCCAATGTATGTGTATACCTATAATATATAGTATGTGTGTCTGTGAGGTCATAAAAAACTCTCTCACATAGCCACACACATCTCAACACTTCGTTGCTCGGCGTTTATGTGAACTAGTTGTACGTGACGGCGAGAATTGCACTCATTAAGGAAATGTTGAGTCGTCATTGCTAGAATGAGGATTTCCGTTGACATTTGCCTCCTGCCGCTTGCCACACACCACTTGCGGCAGTTTTTATGTGGCACGGGCAGTGACCAGTGCTGAACTCCGCTGCCAATGTGAGTGGGAAAAGACTAGAAACAAAAAAAAAAAATGTGGCAGTAAACCACCATGCAACCCTGTTAAGATACATACAAACAAACATAGCATTACACCTGACTCGTTAATGTCGTTTGCTGCCACTATAATTTGCCACAGTTGAAGGTGTCGAAGGTGCTAAATGGCAAATATTATAACAGTGACTTTTATTTGACTATGATTGCATATGCAGTTGATTGACTGTTTGGAATATTAATAGAGAATTTGAAGTGAATTAAAATAAATTTCATTTTGTTTGCACACCCAAACAATAGCAACAAATTACTGGCAGTGACAGGCACCCGGTGCTTGCAGCTGCCACTTTTCACGCAAAATTTCCAATCAACTGAAATTGTCAGAGTAGGCCAACACACGCGTGCACACGCACAYATACATGCATACGAATAGGAATAATTTTGCTAAACGTTTTGTAATTTTCCAAATTCATGTCTGGCGCCTACACATGGGCCCCAAGCAATTTTCATAAAATTAAATGTGAATTCATACGAACCTGCGCACACACGGTTCACCAGCTTGCTTGCTAGCACATGCATATGTGTGTGTGTGGYACTTGGGTGTGTTTGTAGTAGCTAAATTGTCTGCCTAATTGTCGGAGTATTTCAATTTTTCACTCATGCGGCGCGCACCCACCCTGACCCATCAGGCGGAAAGTGTCCTAAAACTACTTGTGTGTGTGTGTGCGTATGTTTAGTGGCGCGACCGCCTCGCCTCCCTTTAACCTTTAACACTCTGCTTAATTAGCACCTTAGTGTTGAAAAATAGTTCAATGGTTTTTGCTTTGTTTCGGCACTTCGGTTTTGCCAATGCCGTCCGACCGATCGACTAGCCGCAACGTGGACCCGCTTCGCCTTGTCGAGAATGAGGTCTACCACGTCGCCGGCGACGCTGTGAAAGCTTTACAAAACTGAATTGAAGCTAATGGCAGCCATTTACGTAACTTATTTACACATGCGAAAAGCACGACAGAGGCACCAGCACACACATACAACAATATATATGAATGTGTGTGTTTGCACACTGATAAATAGCTTGTGCTCATACACGTATGCATACCCATATAGCAGTACATACATACATATTCATTTGCATTTTATAAGAGCGCACAGTTGCCAGTTAACTGTGTCTCTGTGAGTGTGTGTGTGTGTGTTTGAAAGCCGTGCTGATTGCGTATGTGTTGGTAGTGTATGAAATTAGCGTATTGCATGAAACTCACTTACAAACACCAGCACACACGAGCACTCTTATGCATATTTAAATATATTTGCTGTTGGGTGCTGTAATTGCATTTGCTAATGGATAAGCGGCGGCAAATTGCCTCCAAATGACTGAAAATTACTTGAAAACATTCGTTTAACTTTATTTTTATGGCTCGTGGTGCTGGTGTGCGTTGCCAGATGCTTGCGCATAAGTTTTTAATTCACTTACACACATTGATTATGCCTATTCATACTTCATGCTCGCATAAGTGTGTGTGTGTGTAATCGCACACCAGCGCGCGTGTTAGAAATCAAAATACATTTGTTTTTGTAGCGATTTATCATTACATATACAAAGTGCTTTTGGCCATAAGTGAATGATGCCACAATTTAGAAATATTATATTCGTTATAATTTCGGTAATGAGGAAGGCAAGCGCATTCGCTCTGCAGTTTTATTCGCATTCATAGGGAATTGTTGGAATATCTGATTTAGYTCGGTAAAAGCCGGTAAATCTAAAATAATTTTCCCAAATATATAATATGACATGCATTTTACTTCAAAGAGCAAGTGACATCCGTTTAGTTTTTTCCATTAAAATATTCCTCTAGAAGTTATACAACGTTAAGTTATGTTTATGTTTAGGCATTACATCATCATAGAACAGCAATAAAACTCAATCATACAAATGTAGAGAATCTGGATCAAACCGGGAAAATCGGTTGTAGTAGACAGTAAGCTTGCTTTACGCAATCTAATCATACTTGTGTTAAAAGTGATCTTTAGCCACAACAGGCGTGAAGTTCGGACAGAAAACCCCGAGTTTTAAACTAATTATTCTTATTGGAGCTTAAGTAGAGCAAGTTGTTTTCAACTTAAAACTAATCACTCCCAAATTCRTCACTCAATTTTAAATCGCTGAGCAATTTTGAACTGTCTGCAGCTGCTCTACAATTAGTGATACTAAATTTTTTTGCCACAATTGCGAATTTCTTTCCATTTCGCATCAAACTCACTAAAACTATTTACGAGAAGAGTTTTGAAGGCGCTTGTATTTGTCGTACTGAGTAATTGAGCAATTGAGTGACTGACTGCCTGCATAACTCTGGTGGCGAAAATCGCTATAAAACAAAATYGAAAAAATAAAAAATGGCAGTGAGTTCAAGTAACGCTGGGCCTTACTGTTGGAGTAAGGCAAAAACAGACTGAAGTAACTGATGGAAGCGAACCGGCATTGACAAAAATGAGAAGCAATCGAAAGCAAGATGTCAAACTGTAGCGAAAGTTCAATTCGAAGAAGTGTTTCGAAAAAAAAAAGCAATCAGGCATGCACACGGCCACACAAATACATATATATACTATATGTCCATATACGTGGATGAATATCAATGTATATGTGTGCAATAACCACTTTCAAGTGATGGATTCCATTAGTGCACAAAAGACATTTCGTTATTGCCATCTGCGTCTACACGTTCCACAGCAACAGCAACATCAGCGGCTGTGGCAGTGGCAGTGGCAGTGGCAGCCTAGAGCAAATATACCCGTCTCCATTTTGCTTGCTGCGCTTTTGCTGTTTGTCCAACTTAAAGTGTGACTGGCTGATAAACGGAAAGTTCGCTACATTTAGGTGTTGTTGTTGTTGTGTTTGCTGTGCTTATGCGCAGGTGTGCGCAATATTTGCTTGTTGCATGTTGCACGCTCGATTGCCACGAATTTCGATATTTGAACATCAAAGGAAAGTCGTTTGTCGCATGCGACTGCCGCCACCTATTATATGCAAAATGCTCACGTTTTACTTTCAAGTGTTGTTTGCACAATTTTTGTTGCTGCGGCGGTTGGTCGATGCACTTTGCGCCGCACTMGTTCACAGCGCATAACTGTTCAGTCAGTGAGTGCACCT